TCATCTTAATCAGTCAAGAATGAAGATAAAAACTGACATATATTCTGGGACTACTTTTTGTAAAGTACTACTCCCTCCGTCCCAATTTAATAGTCTCATTTCTTTTGGATACAAGTTTTAATAAAGTGGTTGAAAAGGTAAAAATTGTGGTTGAGACTTGGATATAATAAAATGAAATGATGTTGACTACATCTTTCTTTTCAAAAAGAAAACAAGACCATCATTTTGGGACATCCCAAAAAGTAAATACATGACCATTATTTTGGGACGGGAGAGAGTATGTATTATTGTAGATTTCGAATGTTCAATTGACAATTAATATGCAGCTCTATTTTACTAAATTAATTTGGGTTGTCTAATATATCAACCCCATTGACTTCCAAAATGGGGTTGGAATATATTCCAAACAAAAAACTGTACGTACACTAGCACTCTTTTCCAAGAGAGAGAAAATGCTTTTCCTTTTATGTTTTTGGTTGGTGGAAGCATGAAAAGCAAATGAAATCTTGGGCTCTTTAAATTTCTGGACTCATCAATCTTGCTTTTCCTTTTCATTAGCTCTCTTTAGGACCATTCCAACTTCATCACTCAGCTAATAAAGAAAGCTCAAATACACTATACATAGAAGAATGGTCCCCATTTGTGTTGGGAGAAGGCATGCAAGGAGGCCAGCCCAAGGAATAAAGTTCAAAGGCAAATTAAAGATAAAGAAACTAAAGAGTGATCAAAAGCACAAAAGAAAAGCTTCTCTAGTTGCCTTCTTCCATTCAGACTATTCACACTACACAATTATACATGAATCATTCCCCCAAAAAAATGTAATGATCTTATTATCTATATTAATCAATCTCCTTTTTATCCTTACAGGTTATGTACAACCCACTATGGCATTCATGACAAATGTCTCCAACTCAAAGTCTATTAATCATGCACATAATACTAAAGTGTATGATGTGGTAAACTATGATTATATGGTCCCATAGTGTTCCATAAAATTTGCAACAGTTTAACTTTCACGTTTGCCAACGCGCAAGTTTGACTGTAATTATATTTATTTACGTATTAGTAAACATTAAAAAAAGTTAATATATCGGAAATTTACATTAATACAAATTTATTAATATTTTATTCATAATATTTTTGTTATACATATTATTAGAAAATCGTAGTCAAATTAAGGTGTGTGAATAATGCAGAAATTCCAATGTTGCAACTTTTATGGAACGGAGGAAGTATATAAGTTATATGTGATTAGGTTCTTAGTTTGGAAAGAATCGTGTTTGAGGTATGCTAAATTCCATAGTTATAGACGTACTTAGAGCATCTCCGGCGGTTAGTTAATTGTCCTTATAGCTTGACTAGTCACATAAGCATTTATAGTAAAATTGAAATATACTTCAATGATTAGCTATAACTTTTTCCTCTGCATTTATTATCTACGGTGTATAATGCTACACTTTATAATTCTCCTTGCTCAAGCTAGTAGCTCATTTAGGCTAATTAGCTTTCTCAAGCAAAAGGAAAAACAATGTTTCAATGGTAATGGTAAGCTAGTAGCTTCAAAATTGCAACCAAGTTCCTAGAAGCACTCATCGGAGATGCTAGTGTAGTTATAATATCTCGAGGTCATGACAAGTTCAGTTGCTACATTATTGGTGTTAATGTGTTATGATTATTATTATTTATTATATATGCACAATTTCAATAGGTATATATGTAGATTTATAATTGAAATGCCCTATATAGGATAGGAGTACCAAGTATATGCATGATCAATCTATTTTCTATACATTTTTTCAACCACGTACTGTGGCCTAATAGACAAAATCACAAGTTCAACTCATCAATGATCAAACCCCATGGTCCCCATACTTTTAAATATTACGAGTAATCACTAAAAACATAGCAACATTTAATCGAGGACACATAATAGGGGTGTTTGGAACTTTGCTTCTGCTTCTTTTTTAAATTAGAAACAGAATCAAAATCAGTTTTCAGAAGTTGGTTTCCCCCAACTTCTACAAAAACTAATTCTATGAGTAATTTAGAGCACTAGAAGTACTTCTGCATTTCCGCCCAAACACTCCAAAACTCTTTCTGCTATCTGAAGAAGCATAATCAGTTTTAAGAATCAGATCCAAACACCTCATAATTTGCAAAGATGTATTTTATTCCATAGTAACATTTAATCGATGACAAATACAAAAGGAAAAATTCACACTAATAATCCCACCTATTACCGGTCTTCCATTATTAATCCCTCCCATGCGTAATTCTAAATTAATACGTATTAAAGGGGTAACCTTCCACAAACACTCTCAGTGCAATGGAAACCGGTTGAACTGGTAACACTTAAAATTGGCTACCTAACAACGGTCTGACTATTAGGTCAATTGAAGACAAAGGATAGGGAAACAAAGTTGTCGCCATTACAGACTGAGGAACAAGGAACGAAGAGGGGTTGAAGAAAGGTTATACGTCCACGGAAAGAAGAATGGTAAATTGGAATCCTTTCCCTCCTTCTTTTTTGTCTTCGTTTTTTGTCTACTATCATGTCTTTGTTTTTTTGTCTTTGTTGCTTTGTTCATACAGTTGTCATTGATGTTAATTTTTGTTCCTGGAACTCAGTTGTCTGATTTTCACTTTTAGGTTTTAGGGGAAACTAAGGTTAAACTGTGTATATGGCATGGGGGAGTATTTAAGAAGGACAGTAGGGGTAGACTACAATACGTGGGAGGTACTTTTAGAATTTTTGATGTAGATGCAGACGAACTATGTTGGTTTTGGTTAGAAGAACTAGCTAAGAAATGTGGGGATTATTGTACTATTGATGCCATTTACTACATGGTACCTAATCTAAGCTATGAAGAGGGATTGAGAAGGGCATATCATGATGATCAAGTGAGGGATATGATAGATGTAGTCTTAAAGACAAAGTGCGTTGACTGCTATGTCATTCATGGAATTGATGTGCCAGATTTAATTCAAGCAATTGAATATGTGGGACAAAATGAATGTGCAGAGATAATGTCATCCAATAAGAAGAAGAAACTTAGTCCTAGGGGAGGATCTAAGGTTCATGTGGGTACTTCACAACCTCAGACCACTGCTCCAGATTCATTTCAGGCTGACAGGCCCCACAACCCATTTACATGGGATGAAGAAGAAGACTCAGATGATCCAGAGTACACTCCTGCAAGTGAAGAAGGTAACATAAATGATGACAATTCTGATTTCCATGGTGATACTTCAGAAGAGGAAGACCTAGAGAACATACAAGAGGGTCTGATTTTGTCAGATCTTGATACCAGTGATGAAGAGTATCAAAAGGTTAGGGATCAAGTTAAGGGGTGGAATGCCAAGATATTAAGGATTGCAAGTGCTCTTCAAAAAGAAGCTGGTGAGGGTAAACTGCCAGGGCAAAAGCAGAGATCTAGTAAGGCTAGGGTGCAAGAAGGTATAGAGGACGACTCTGCCTTTATTAGTGACTATGAAGACACAGAAGAAGAAACTTTAACACCAGATGAAGATGAAGAACAATATGAACTCAAAAAAAGAAAGAGGGAAAGGATTCCAATTGTTAATGAACATACTGACTACAAAATACTTGAGTGGAAAGCAGGAACCAAATTTGAGAGTAGAGAGAAATTTAGAGATGCTGTGGTTAGATTTGCAGTAGCCCAAGGCAGAAATCTAATGTTCAGTGTTAGTGATAAGAAAAGGCAACAAAGGTTAGGTGCAATATGTGTTCCCGGGTGTCCCTTCAGGATATATGCTAGCTGGGACAGTAGCAGAGGGTGTTTTGTGGTGAAATCAGTTGTAGGGGAGCACAGGTGTCTAAGAAACATGGAATCAAACAAACAACTGAAATCTTCATGGGTTGCTAAGCAATTTCTGGAAGTTTTTAAATCAAGACCCCATTGGCCAGCTAAGGAAATTATTGAAACCATACGCAGAGCATATAGAGTGGTTGTTAAGAGGAACTTTGTTTACAAAGTTAAGTACATTGCCCATAGGAAACTTCATGGTAGTATGAAGGACCACTACAACAAACTTGGGAGGTATCTTGAGGCCTTATCAGTTGCTAGTCCTACCAGCCATTACCAGCTTGAAGTCAATCCTGAATTAAGAGTGTTTCCACAAGTTTTTCAGAGACTTTTTGTGTGTTTTGATGGTGTTAAGCAAGGCTGGATAGAAGGGTGTAGAAAGGTGTTGTGTGTGGATGGGTGTTTCTTGAAAACATTTTTGGGTGGAGTCTTACTTTCTGCAGTTGGAAGAGATGCAAATGAGCAGATGTATCCCCTCGCCTGGGCTGTGGTTGAAGGGGAAAATAATGATAGCTGGGAATGGTTCTTCATTCATTTAAATAGAACAATAGGTGAAACAGATGGTTCTGAGCTTACTATAATCTCTGATGAACACCGGGTAATTTTTCTTTCCATTTCACTTATTGTAATTTTGTATAGTTTAGTGACTATGTTCTTTATAAGATTGATCTGAGGTTACATTGTTCATTGGTTGATAGGCTATTTTGAATGGAGTTCAGAAAGTGCTTCCTCGAGCAGAACACAGACATTGTGCAAGGCACATCTATGCCAACTGGCATAAAAACCATAAAGGGGATGAGCTTAAGATGGATTTCTGGAAAGTGGTTAAGGCTTATAATCAAGATGATTATGATGATGCTTTAAGGGAAATGGAGAATCTGAGCCCATTACCCACCCAATCTTTCAAAGCATATGACCCAACCAAATTCTGCAGGGCCTTTATTAAAACAAATACCAAATGTGAGGTAATTGTCAACAATATGGTTGAGACATTCAATGGTTACATTCTCAATGCTAGAACAAAGCATTTAATATTCATGATGGAAGATATTAGGACAGCTTTAATGCAAAGGATTGTTCAGAAAAGGCAACAAATGGAAGTCAGTCACCACATTATATGTCCTCTGATTCAAGCAAAGCTAGAAAAAGAAAAGGAAGAAGCAGCCAATTGTGCAGCAATGCCTTCATCTCTCATGGTCTTCCAAGTCAACCATAGAATGGATAGTATGACCGTTGATCTTATCTCAAAGACGTGCACATGTAGGAAGTGGGAATTGACAGGAGTCCCTTGTTGTCATTCTGTAGCTTGCATGTTCTTTCTTCACCATGCCCCTGAAGACTATGTGGATAAGTATTACAAGAAGGAGACCTACGTGAAGATATATAGTGGATGTATCCCTCCGTGCCCTGGTGAAAGGCACTGGCCAAGAAAAGAGGCTGAATTGGATCCTCCACCTATCAAAATTGGGCCTGGAAGACCAAGGAAAAATAGGAGAAAGGACCCTCATGAAGATCCAAAGAAACCTGGTAAGCTAACAAAGCATGGATTACAAATGTCTTGCAGCATATGTAAGTCCACTCAACACAACAAAAGAAAATGCCCGGACAAAGACAAAAGTACAACCTCAAGTGTTTCAAATGAACCTAAAAGACCAAGGGGGAGACCTAGGAAGAATGCACAACCTTCTACAGAGGCTGCCAGTGAAACTGAGTATACAAATGCCACTGCCCAACCTTCACAAATTGGGAGAGGTGGGAGGCTGATAATGAGAGGTAGGGGCAGAGGGAGGTCCAAAGGGAGAGCCAATGAGGTATGCATAATGCATTTTAGTGTATATTTGTTTAGTAATGTTATATTTATTGTGTTTATGAATTGGATGCAGGTTCCTCAGGGATTTGGTGTGTTTGTTGATGGTTAGGGAAAGAACATTCTTAATGTGAGACTTAATGTCCTTATCCCTTTTCAAGTGTTATATTGGTGTGCTCCTAAATGAAAATCATTGGCCTTTTTTTTGTAGTCACCTGGTCAAGTAGGAGGTCCCAAACTGCTTTCAGGGGATGGATATGCTCCATCAAGCAATGACAGTGCACCAGTGTGAAAGAATGTCGTGTCATGAATGATGTCTAATGACTTTTTGCTAAATGGATTTCTATGTTTGGATGTATTTTGGATGTTGTTAATCTGCCTTTGATGTAGTGGTTGATGTTGTGCTTGTATTTCAGAATTCTGGTGTTGTTAAACTTTTCAATTGACTTGTGATGATGATTAAGTTAAGTGGAATGATTCTTTTCAAGTTACTGGAATGGTTCTTTTCAATTTTCAGAATACTTTGGAGTGTACTTTAAACCATGTTCAAATGATCCTAACAGAATAACAAAACTTTAAGAGAAGTTCATCATACACATTACAAAACAAGATCCAATATTACATCAGTTTCATAGAAGGTACATTTCTTCAAATAAGAAGTAATTACATCGCAAGATCTGCTAATATTACATCACTTTAACATTACATGGTACATTACTTCAAATAAGAAAGAATCCCAAAAACTATCCAAGATGCTATTATAACCATAACAGCATATGCTTCTCCTCTAGCTGTTTTGGAAGCCACCATTCGAGAATCAGCAACTTCTACAACCAACCTCTTGTTCTTCATCTTCAACTTGTGTACTCTTTCTTCCAATAACTTCTTCTCTGCCAACAACTGCTCAATTAGTAGATCTTTATCTTTCACTATTTGGACATCATATTGCACATCAGTGTCCTCACACCATTCAAAGAAACGACAATCTGCATTCTACAATCAAAACGAGATATTGCACATCATTGTCATCATTGTCATTACAATCTGTATTCTACTCAAAATGTTTAGCACCACTTCAAGTGAAAATGACTTATGACAGAAAGAGTCATCATTAAAACTAAACAATTCAATGTTTTGCATAAACCCTAATGTTTAAAGAAATAATAGCGAGCATATAGTTTTGATATAATTCAGAGTATTCAAAATTATAAACCCTAATGTTTTTATTTAAAACTAATATTTTCATCCAATGAAAACTAATGAAAAGTTTATAAAGCAGAGATACTTACAGGCCATAGCGAGCAGCCATAAAATTTTCTTCCAATGTTTGGACCGCTCTTTACCGTTCGTAATTTCGGCTCTATCTTGTGATGGCACGTACGCACAACCTCTCTATTCGAGTTGCAGGTCCAAGAAGATGAACCACTCACTGAATTCATGATTGTTCAGTACTCAACAAATTGAAGATCTTCCATTCCCATTCCTTCTCTTCACTCGTCTCTCGCGCAGGGATGCAAGAATCGCGCAGGGATGTCGATTGGGCTTGGCCTCTGATTTTGGGATAAGAGGGAGAGGATAATCACGTGTGGGTCATGTGATTCTTTAATTACCGGTTAAGATGGGTTCTTCAGGTTAATAGAGTGTTTGTGGAAGGTTACCCCTTTAATACGTATTAATTTAGAATTACGCATGGGAGGGATTAATAATGGAAGACCGGTAATAGGTGGGATTATTAGTGTGAATTTTTCCAATACAAAATTGCAAACAATTGTAACATTTAATATATCGAGGACACATTTACGACATATTGTCTTAAATATGAGTAAAAACGTTTGTCTAATGTCCAAATATAAGTCATTACTGTGATATTTTGACAATACCACGATTTAAACAATACAGTATTTTTCAAGCTTGACAGTAATTAATTACTCCTGTTTAAGAAATAAAAAACATAAGAGTCTTATTTTGAAATTTTAAACGCTTTATTCATATTTCAGGAATTTCCCCTAAAATGTTGTAGTCTTTGGTTCTTATTTAACAGACTTATACTGTATGGACTCTCGTTGAGTGGGTAAAAAAATACTAGTGGGTCAATTAGATTTTGTAAAAAAATGCACTTTTAAAATACTATTTTGCACCGCCTAAATAAAACTCATGAAATCCACATCTCAAATAAGGGGTTTTTCATTAGAAATGCCACTTAATTAGTTTTTCATTTTTTCTGTTATGAACATTTAGAAAAATCAATAATTTGGAGTTTTTTGGGATTGGTTTAGTTTTTGTATCTTTTTTAAAAAACGGAAATAGAATTTATATTAGCTTTTCAAGTTGATCTCCTCATATTTTAAGAAACGGTTTCTACTTTCTAGGAGAAATTTAGAACATTTAAAATTACTTTTACAATCCCATCTAAAACACTACAATATCATATTCTCCTAACTCAATGTGGAGGAACGTAATCCAAACACTCCTTATGAGAAATTGATAATATGGTTCGTGTATTATCATGAAAATGTCAATTGAATCTTCATACTTTAAAAAATCGAACCATGAACTTTAAAAAAATATTTAATTAGGTCAATTAGCATGCTACCTATCATATCTGCAGGTTACATGTCAGGGAAATGGCTAACGGGGCTTCAACGTGTGTCACGTAGCAAAGCCAACTGCAAATGTGTGCCACATCATCAGTGACCTGCTGACATAGCGTGTACCCTATTAAAAGAAACAAGAACTTGACCTTAGTGATGGTTCAAGGACAAAATTGACAATTTCCGTTTAATTTTCATTTTTCCATAAACAATTGAAGAAGGCCAATTGCCCAATCATGAGAGTACACTATTTAAATAAAATTAAGATTGTACTTGTGATTAGTCGTCATAACTACTCTATAGAGACTCCCTCTTTATCCGTTAACTTAAACAAGAAAGTTACTACTCCTTATTACTCCCTCCGTCCCCCTGTTATTGTCCCATTGCGGTTTACGATGCTTGACCGACGATAAAGCAAACAGATCTCTGTCCGCACTCAAATTATTTTTAGAAAAAGAAAATTACATATTCAGAAACTACATTAAAAGATTTACAAAGTCGCAAAAACCAGAATCAAATTTGATAAAAATTTGATACATAAAGTAAGAGATTAAGAGTGATTTGTGTTGACCAAGTGAATAGAAAATGAGACAATAACAGAGGGAGTAAATCATTTAAATCCCTAGACAGTATTTCTATCCCTTAAATACGTAACACTTATACTAAAAATGACTAATAGCTTTCACACATATCCCAGAAAACAACACAAAAAAACAATCTCAGGCCAATCAATGTCTTTTATATGTTCTTCAGATAGATACAATAAGATCAGAGCAAAAGAAAAAGCCATCTTCTTCAGTTCCTTGAACTTGAAGTCTATCTTTATTCTTCTTCCTCCTCTAGATCTTTCCACATGTTATTGAACTTTATCTAAACCCTAATAAAACCCTTTCTTTCATCACCAAATCCTTCCAAACTAACTAAAGAGACAAGAGCCAAACATGGCGCCCTGCCTTGTTCTTTTTCTCACTCTCTTTACACTTCTCTCTTCTTCTTCATCCTCTTCTATCTTCACTGACTTCAATGCATTGGTTTCTCTGAAACATTTCTTGTCCTCTTCACCAGCAAATTATGTTCTGGAATCTTGGAACACTTCAAATCAAACCACAGTCTGTTCTTGGAGCGGAATCAAATGCAAACACGGCCGAGTCGTTTCCATCAGTCTGTCTGGTATGGGTCTGTACGGATCTGTCTCACCCCAAATTGCCGCCATGGATGGACTGACAGAGCTTCTCCTTGATGGGAACAACTTCACTGGTGAAATCAAGATTGGGAACATGGAAGGCCTGAAATTTCTGAACATATCAAACAACCTTTTCAGCGGGAATCTTGATTGGGATTTTTCTAGTTTAAGGAATCTGGAAGTTTTCGATGCTTACAACAATAACTTGACAGGTTTCTTGCCACCTCTTGGGGGCATTTTAGGGGGGGAAAAGTTAAAGTACTTGGATTTAGGTGGGAACTTCTTTTATGGTGAAATCCCAAAGAATTATGGGGATTTGTTGGGTTTGGAGTACTTGTCCCTGGCTGGAAATAACCTCCATGGAAAGATTCCTAAAGAACTAGGGAATCTTACTAGCTTGAAAGAGATATATTTAGGCTATTACAATGTGTTTCAGGGTGGGATTCCAAAAGAATTTGGCAAATTGCGGAGTCTTGTTCATTTGGATATGTCCACCTGTGAATTGGATGGTCCAATTCCTGCAGAATTGGGGAATTTGATGAATCTGGACACTCTTTTCCTCCATGTTAATCTACTCTCCGGTTATATCCCAAGAGAGCTCGGGAATTTGACAAGATTAAGATATCTTGATCTCTCTGCTAATTCCTTAACGGGAGAAATCCCGTTTGAGTTCATCAGCTTCAAGAATCTTAATCTGCTCAACCTGTTCATGAACAGGTTACATGGGTCCATACCCGATTTCATTGCAGAGTTTCCGGAGCTTCGAGTTCTTGGGTTATGGATGAACAACTTCACCGGAACCATCCCGGAGAATCTCGGCCGGAACCAGAAGCTTCAGGGACTGGATTTATCATCGAACAAACTGACCGGAGTCATTCCGGAGAATCTCTGTGCTTCCAAAGAGCTGAAAGTGTTGATTCTTCTCAAGAATTTCCTGTTTGGTTCAATCCCTGGTAAACTCGGATCATGTTTGAGCTTGGTCAGGGTAAGATTGGGAGATAATTTCTTGAATGGGAGTATTCCGGATGGGTTTCTTTACTTGCCGGAGCTCAATTTGGTTGAGCTTCAGAACAATATGTTGTCGGGAAACTGGTCGGAGAACAGAGACTCTTCTTCTAAACCCGGATTTTTAGCCCGTTTGAATCTTTCAAACAATAAACTCTCTGGTTCTTTACCGTTTTCGCTATCCAATTTCACGTCACTACAGATTTTACTCCTCAGTGCGAACGAGTTCTCCGGTTCCATTCCTCCGTCCGTAGGTGAGCTCCGGCAGGCTCTGAAGATTGACATGAGTGGGAATTCCCTCTCCGGCGAAATTCCCATTGAAATTGGAAACTGCGTCCATCTCACTTACCTGGATTTCAGTCAGAACAACCTCTCCGGGCCAATCCCGGCCAGGATTTCCGATATGCGGATCTTGAATTACCTCAACTTATCAAGAAACCATCTCACCGGAAACATCCCGAAGCTGGTTGGAACATTGAGAAGCCTCACGACGGCCGATTTCTCATTCAATGACTTCTCCGGGAAACTGCCAGAAACAGGGCAGTTCGGTTTCTTCAACGCCACTTCCTTCTCCGGCAACCCTCGCCTCTGCGGGTCACTACTCAACAAACCTTGCGAAGTCTCGGTCATTTCAGCCCCGCCGGGAGAATCCCACGGAGGTGAATTCAAGCTGGTATTCGCTCTGGGTCTCCTACTATGTTCTCTTGTTTTTGCGGCGGTGGCCATAATAAAGGCCAAGTCTTTCAAGAAAACCACCTCCGGCGGTTCTTGGAGAATGACGTCGTTCCAGAAGGTGGACTTCACGGCGTCGGAAATCGTGGACTGCGTGAGAGACGGGAACGTGATCGGAAAGGGCGGAGCAGGGGTGGTCTACCACGGGAAGACTGGAACCGGGACCGAAATCGCCGTGAAGAGGCTCGCCGCCGGCGTAAATTCCAAAAACAAGAACGACCATGGGTTCCGGGCGGAGATCGAGACGCTCGGGAATATTCGGCACCGGAACATCGTACGGCTTTTGGCGTTCTGTTCGAACTATAAAGACACGAATCTGCTGGTTTACGAGTACATGAAGAACGGGAGCTTAGGGGAGGCGCTTCACGGCGGCGGGAAGAGCAAAGGCGGCGGCGGAATGGTGCTGATGAGCTGGCATTTGAGGTACAAGATTGCGGCGGAGGCGGCGAAGGGGCTGAGTTACCTGCACCACGACTGTTCGCCCTTGATAGTGCACAGAGACGTGAAGTCGAACAATATACTGCTGGATTCGAACATGGAAGCTCACGTTGCGGATTTCGGACTGGCGAAGTTCTTGGCCGGCGGCGGAGATGGCGGCGCCTCCCAGTGCATGTCAGCTATTGCCGGCTCTTATGGTTATATCGCCCCTGGTACGTTAGTTTCACGTTCAATCTTTTTCTTCTCTGCATGCATGAATTTGCATGTTTGATTTTTCTCTGATTTGCCATCTTTTTTCACAAGTTTTTTACTCGTAAAAGACTTTTGTCACAAGATATTACTATCTCCTTTCCCATTTTAACTTCCAAATGTGTTTGCCACAAAGTTTAAGATAGTGAATATTGTGTGGTGGAGAGTTGTGCAGAGGAGAAAAAAATGTGTAAGAAATGTTGTGAACCACAAATTCTTTACCAAAAAGAGAAAGTGGAAGTTTTAATTGGAACGGACGAAAAAGGAAAGTTGGAAGTTTATTTAGGAACGGAAGGAGTACATCGAATTTTATGGATTATTGTATGTTTATTGTGACTTGTGAGCTAATTTGTTTATTATTAGACACAGTACCACAACTCCGGTACCTTTCTAAAAAATGGGGTACCGTACCTATCATTAATTTCATTGGACCATATCACTTTATTATTTTTTATTTAGATTTAAATAATTCAACTGCTACATTCTCATTGGTCCATATGGACAAAGATACGGTAGCTTATAGGTACCAAATCTACCTAAATAAATACGTAGTACTACGTATATATCAAGTCATCCCAAATTATAGGAAGGTGTTGTGCTTATCGTAACTAGACGTTATGCAATTAAAATATTAAACAATTTTAAATAGGAATTTTACTTTAATTATAAATAATACGAAGTACTAATTATAACAATTTTTAAAAGTCTTTCGTCACAAGCTATTACTTTTTATTGTTTGAAAAATAAAAGATAGAGCATTTTGTATACATTGTACTAACTCTGTGCTAACTATAGAGTTGTCCGTATACAAATAATTCTGTCTGCGTAAGTAGACATGTGTGTTAGAGATGTACACAAAAACATGTACACCAATAATTTTGAGCACTTCTCTCTTGATATTTGGATAATAGGGAGTATTTGATACAAGTAATTAATTAAAACTTATAAGTGTGTGAAAAATAAGCTAAAAGGTTCCCTTTAAAAATTGAAAATAATTATGATAAATCAAAAGATTATGTGGTAGGCATAGATTTCTATCTTCCAATCTTTGAATCATTTAAAAAGATTCAAAATATCCGGGGTCTGAGTTAGGGGTGTCCAGACTAGGCCCTGGCCCATCCAAAAATTAAAAAATGCCAATATTTTTAGTTTAAAAAATTCCGTATAAATTTTTTTCCAATAATATTCTTTGTATTGGCACAGTCTGGTCCAATGTCCTGGTTCCGCCCCTGTAAATATCGATAGTTGTACGTTTAACGCAATAATCGTTTAAGAGTTTTTTTAGATATAATAAGTAGTACTCCGTATCTTTTTTGAGAAGCTAAGCTTCTGAGAAAAAATGTAAAGCTTTTAACATTAATAATGTCTAACGTAGTGTAATACCTAATAGAAATAATTTAAACTGTCACTTTTACTACGTATGAAACAATTATAACATTTTTTTTAAACTCTTCACATTCATAAGTGACTAGCAGGAGGTGTGAGTTGAGTTGCTTATTATTTTATATTTGTATTAAAGTAAGCATCACAAAATATCTTACTCACTATCTTATGATGCAAATAAGACAAGACAAATAAAACGAAAGAATAGATTTAGTGAATAAAAAGAAGCTAAGGTACTCCCCATTAATTATGACTCCGTATAATGTAATGAGGCGTGCGAAAAGAATGTTTGGAGTAAAGGAGTGACAGTGTTGGCCGATCGACGGCAACGATTTCGAGGAAGAGTGGGCCCACTCTGCGATCGAAGATGGATGGGGCCGGCCCAGTCTGATTCACTGGATCCAACTGAGCCAACAGCAGCGGAAGGAGAAGGCCCTCAATTCTTGAATCATGGGAAAGCTAACCCCCATTAGCACATCATTCCACGCGTCTGATCTGTTTCGGTCCCCCACTATACTCGTGGGCTTACCCACTTGCACCACATCACCCCTGTCCCACTCCCGCCGTGTTACTTTTGATCCAAAAGATGGAATCTTCCGTCCCCACGCCCCGACCCGATAGGGCACTTGGGATGATGTAAATGACGGTAACTCAGTCAGCGAAGTGACATTAGGTCTACATATCCTGCGCGCCAACGGTCTAGCTCATTTCAGAGACAGTACATGAGGTACCCGTGCGGGTCGCTGCGGGATTCGAACTTTGGCTTTTTGATCCAAATTTTCCACCACTAAACCAACTTAGTTACCCGGGTGGGTTCGGCCGCGTTACTTGTACATGAAATTTGTACACGTTTTGTGTAAACACGCCTAGTTATTTGTATATATAGGTAGCTTCTGAACGAGTTGCATGTGTATACAGACAATTAGGGGATGTGTATATAAAATGTGTATAAAAGTAGCTTTTCTCATCCTTCAATTCTATACCGGAGATGTTTGGAATTGATTATGCTTTTGTTTCTTCTTTTTTAAAAGTATAAGTGGAATCAAAATCAATTTTCAAATCGGTCTACTTCAATTTCTCAAAACTCTTCAAGAGCAATTTGAAGCATGCAGGAGTACTTTTACATTTTAACCTAATCACTCAAAATATAATTCTCCTTTAAAGGAGAGTCAGACACCTCATATTTGTAATACGAAGTAAAATCCTGGAGGCCTTGTTTCTAGTGAATTCTAGCTATCACTGATTTTTCATTTGGTTTAGTTTCAGTTTCAAGCCCAATCACATAGAAACATATTCGTTATTCAACAAATTATATCAAATAAAGCTAAGTGGATTATATTTATACGGTAATAAACAAATACACATAATATCACACCTTATTAAATCAGACTCAAATAAACGAGCTACCCTACCAGCTGATTCAAACATCATCATCGTAAAATTGTTTTTTCCATCATTTCATGCCTTTTCATTATCGAATGTTAGGTCATGGGTTCTTGATAATCATCGTTGTTTTGCCATTTATTCCTAGGAGAGGACTGTGTGTCTGTGTTGGCTCTTATCCCATATTATTAAATCATAAAGTTCCATTTCAAAATGTTTTGATATTGATATCATGTTAGCTCTTAAATCCATAAACGAATCATACGATAGTATATACTTCCTCCGGTTCTTATTAAAGTTCTCACTTTCCTTTTTGAGATGTCCCTTATTTAAGTTCACACTTCCATTTTAGGAAACAAAACAGTGCAAAACAGTGCCAAACAGTGTCAAACAGTGTCCAAACAGTGCCAAACAGTGCACTCCACAGTAAAGTCAAATTCATTTTCTTAATATGTGTGAAGTCAAACTAAAAACTTAAATAAGAACCGGAGGAAGTACAAATTAAATTTTTGGCATCTTTCATGGTATATTACCTTAAAAAAGTGTTACAAAGTGGTTAAGAAAAACAATACTCAGCTCCTTCGGTCCCAAATGTGATTCACACTTTCCTTTTTGGGTAGGTACAAAATAAATTTCACACTTCTTCTCCCTTCGTTATTTGGCAAATTATCTGCATCAAAATAGTGTAAAATAGTGCAAAAAAGTGTCAAACAGTGTCACAACAGTATACTCAATTGTAAAGTCAAATTTATTTCTTTAATTTGTGCGAAGTCAAAGTGTGAATTTCATTTGGGACCGGAGGGAGTAATATTTAATCAAAATTCCCTGAGCACTTTTAATTAAGATTTACTTATCAAATCCGAGAGGTCTTTTCTTTCAAAAAAAACAAAGGTCGTTATCATCTATTGTCGCATATTATTGTGTACGTTTTTTATAAGATTTTGTAGGCTTTATGAGAAATTTGGTTTTGAAAGTTTGCGTATTGAACACTGCCACCTTTGTTACATTCACATGCACTAGCCTGTCTTTCCAAATTAACAATGATTTTACAATAAGAAATTGCCCAAAATAGGAGCAAATGAAATTTGGAATTTCAAAATAAGACTAGTATGGTTTTTTTTGCGAAATAGGAGTTGTTACTGTCATGCATGAAAAATACTGTCATGATTAATATTGTCATTAATTATAATAAATATTGTTATATTAAATGCATTGTACTGCAACAGTAAGTATTGTCATGTTAGTCTCATTTCGAAAATAAAAATATAGTAGTCCTATTTTGGAATTTCAAACTTCATTGACTCCTCTTTTTTAAAATCTCTCTTTTGCCATGTGTGCGGCTCTCTTTAACTGTATTGTCCAATATTTTTATCTACAACGGATAAAATGCGGAATTGAAGATAACGATCCAGACTGCTAGTGGGAGATCCAACAAGTGACCTGGTGGAAATTAAACATTTGGGTTTCTAACTAGAACTATTAATATCATGTTTAGTAATTATCTTGTATTTTAGTTCCGTATATAATAATAACATTATTTAGTTTAAAACAATAGTAGTGGTATTCAGGTCATTTTAAAATTTTTTGGTCTAGTCTCATCTGAACATGTTTGGTCTGATCTGGTAGATGTCTGGTCTTTATGTATTTTACAACTGTCAAAGTCTTGTTTGATCTGATCTGATTTGTTTAAGTTTGATCTAATCTAGAATTGAAATAAGTTCAATAAAAGACGTCCTAAATGTATAATCACAATCTAGACTTCAAGATTCTAATATATTTTATTTTATTTTTATCATACCATTAGGTTTATATAATACTACGTATTATTACTATCTTTATCATAACTATAAACAAATTGCGTTGTAAAAAATAATGATCAGTATATACTTAAAAACATCCAAATATGCTCAGTCCATATATACATAGTTAGAATTTTAACCGGATAAAAAATCTTGAACCATCAAAAGCAAACTTCCTTGAGGTAGCAAGTAGTCAAGTACATTCTTCAATTTTGTAATGTATTTTTTTAAATTTTTTATATTTAGCCCACATACCTCGCCAATGTTTAAATCTAGTATAATTGCACTTCAGCTCAGGGTATCCTAGATTCCTGAACTCACCTTTGGATCTATTACTCATCTACTCATCTCCAATACTATAATGTGTACGGTATACATGTGAAATGAGAGGTAGACACATAAAAAATAAATCATGCACGATGCTCTAATATTTTTGCATGAGTTTTTTTAAATCAACATTTTTTCAAAAATTCAACTTTTTAAAATTATCATTAAGCTCTTAATTAGGCAGTGTAAGTATACTTGGTGCTCTTAATTTGTTACTGTTATTCTCCTTTTATTTTTTTTTTCGTTATTTATACCTGTGATGAAATGAAAAATTATTCAACTTTGTCTATCTATTTCTATTCCTACTACAGAGTATGCATACACGCTAAGAGTGGACGAAAAGAGCGACGTGTACAGCTTCGGAGTCGTCTTGTTGGAGCTAATCACGGGGCGTCGCCCGGTCGGGGAGTTCGGGGAGGGGGTGGACATAGTCCAATGGTGCAAGAGTGTGACGAGTTGTAGGAGGGAGAAGGTGACACAAATTGTGGATCCAAGGCTCACCATATTTCCCAAAGAAGAAGCCATGCATCTCTTCTTCATTGCCATGCTTTGTGTACAAGACGGCAGTGTTGAACGCCCAACCATGAGAGAAGTTGTTCAAATGCTCTCTGAGTTTCCTCTCCACTCCCAGTTGTCATCACCGGTTTTTTCCTCTCCGGTTCTTCCGCAACATAAGATTGTTGTGAAAGAAAAATATTAGTTGCGGCACTAAAACCTAGCTAAATCTTTTTTGTCTGAAAATCATTTATATATAATAATAATAATAATACGGAGTAATGATAACTTATACACGAATATGTATATTTATATTGGGTTGCATTTCTTGAATAGGTGGTTGATGATGAAGTCATAATATAAACAACCCCTTTTTAAGGTAACTTTGGTTTTGATTTCTTTTGTAAGTTTTTAGCAGATTAATCTTCGATCACTAGTTGCATTAGGGCACATGTTTTTCTTGGGTATATGTTTTTTTAAGAGAAGAAAAGCATGGAAACCCAATTGGCTTCGATGGGTGGTTGTACTCATTGTAAACACACTTGTATTTTGTACTTCTTTCATTGTTTATTAGTGAAGTTTAAAGATAGATATATAAAAGAAAAAGATGTGCTTTTAGTCCTTTAACTTTATTATGTCACTATTATGTCACTTCCACATTACTCCTTTAACTTTCAATTTAACCAAATCTAGTCCGTGACATTTTCCCCTTCACCACCCGTCGTCCTTCCAACCACAACTCCGGCAAATTTTAACCGGAAACCAATTAATGAAGGTTAGTTGCGTCATTTAATAGCATTTATAGGTTTTTTTTATCGAAAAAATTTCACTTTTGGTCCCATGACTATTATGTCACTTCTACATTACTCCCTTGACTTTCAATTTAACCAAATCTAGTCCATGACTTTTTCCCCTTCACCAGTCACCACTCGTCGTCCTTCCGAGCACAACTCTGATAAATTTTAACTCGAAACTCATTTATGTAGAAATATTGGGGACATTTTAGTAATTGTACTACCTCCGTCCCTTAAAACTTTGTCAAAGTTGACCGGCGCGGAGAATAATAAAGGAAAAACTGTGTGGTTGAGGTTTGTGCAGAGGAGAGAGAAATAACAGAAACCACAAAATAATTGATTAAAAGGGAAAGTGGCAAAGTTTTTTGGGACGTCCCAAAAAGGAAAGATGGCAAAGTTTTAAGGGACGGAGGGAGTATGTTGTTAAAATGGCTACCTACAAAATTAACTTCAATTAATGTTGAGTTAATACGCCGGCTTCCTTCATTCTCAAAATCGAAGTCTTCTCCAAATTCTCAAACTTCCGTATGCCTGAAAAATCCCCAACCATCGTTCGAACAATGAGGACCCGTCCGGGCCGTCGGAGTGAAGGAGAAGGAACAAGTGTTGAACGACGTTCGCCAACAAATGCTAGTGATAAAGGTAAGAGGCTGAACTTTTTTAAAAAAAGTGGAAAAAAGTAATGAATACAAGGCTGAAATGAGGTGTATATAATTGGTGTTTGCACATGTTACGGGTTTTATGTTAAGGCTGAAAAAGAGGTTTTTTTAAAGAGTGGAAGAACGTAACATGTGCAAACCTCAATTGTATACACCTCATTTCAGCTTTGTATTCATTACTTCCAGTCTTTTCAAAAAAAGTTCAGCCTCTTACCTTTATCACTAGCATTTGTTGGCGAACGTCGCACTTGTTCCTTCTCCTTCACTCCGACGGTCCGGACGGGTCCTCATTGTTCGAACGATGGTTGGGGATTTTCCAGGCTGACGGGAGTTTGGGAAATTGGAGAAGACTTCGATTTTGAGAATGAAGGAAGCCGGCGTATTAACACAACATTAATTGAAGTTAATTCTGTAGGTAGCTGTTTTAGCAACATACAATTACTAAAATGACCCCAATATTTCTACATAAATGAGTTTCCAGTTAAAATTTGTCGGAGTTGTGGTCAGAAGGACGACAGGTGGTGAAGGGGATAAGGTCACAGACTAGATTTGATTAAATTGAAAGTCAAGGGAGTAATGTGGAAGTGACATAATAGTCATGGGACCAAAAGTAGAATTTTTTCGATAAGAAAACCTATAAATGCTATTAAATGACGCAACTAACCTTCATTAGTTGGTTTCCGGTTAAAATTTGCCGGAGTTGTGGTCGGAAGGACGACATGTGGTGAAAGAGAAAAGGTCACGGACTAGATTTGGTTAAATTGAAAGTCAAGGGAGTAATGTGAAAGTGGCATACTAGTCGTGGGACCAAAAGTGGAATTTTTTCATATATAAAATGTTAGGTTTCAAGAACTATTGCATTTTGTAAATATCAATATTGACTTATCATAAATAAGCTAAGTGAATGGTGAACCTTATCGATAGTACTCACTATTCTGTTCAACGATTATAAAACTCATTACCTTAAAGTGTAGTTTTTCCATGGAAAGCAATCTTCTGTCTTCCATCATCACCACTCAATTATGGTCAAACTAGATTTGATAGGATCATTAAAAAACACTAATGTGTAATGCAAAAAAAAAGCTTAAATAATGTGATTTCTGCTGCTTATCAATTCTGCATTTTGGTCTGTAGGATGTTGGCCTCAAGTTTAAATGGGAAGAAATGTCTCATTTGGAGAATGGTGGAGGGATGCACCAGCCTTAAATAAATAATTCTTTATCAATCTAGTACTCCCTCTGGTCCTAAATAATGTTCAGTGTTTGACTTCACAAAAATTAAGGAAATAAATTTGACTTTACAGTAGAGTACACTGTTGTGACACTGTTTGACACTGTTTTGTACTGTTTTGATGTAGATAATTTGCCAAATAAAATAAGAAAGGTAGAAGAAGTGTGAACTTTATTTTGGACTGGCTCAAAAAGGAAAGTGTGAAATTTATTTAAGACTAGAGGGAGTATATAATGGACAACTAGTTAGAGGTGGTGGTTTGTCTGTTTGCCATGATTGACACTTTTTCAATTGTGTGCGTGTATTTATCTTTTCTCTGTAAGTGTGGCTTTTTCCTTATAATTCGGATTTAGGAACCTAACGGTGAAATGAAAACTTTCTATAGAGTAACTTAGTTTGGAGAATGTAATTACTGTCACACTAAACAGTAAACACACACTATGCTTACCTATCTAAGCTCCATTTATGTGAACTCAAACATAATAAAGAATAGTGACAAGTTCCCCTTAAAGTATATCTTTTCCACTACCCTTTCATTTATGTGAGACTTCTTACTTTTCATTATTTTCAATAGGGATAAATTTATTTGTTTCAACAGTGACAACATGGCATAACAGCCTAATTTAGTTTTGTTATTTTAGCTGATCATATAAGGTTAGCTCTTGTTAGTAAATAGAAGAGATTGTAGGTGTATGAGTAGGATAAGTGATTTTAGTTAGGTGTAGTGTAGCGGATGTGTTTTAGAGTAGAGCTCTTGTCTCTAGAAAAGTAGTATTGTATTGATGTTGTTTGATTTGCTTGATTAGCGAACGAGTACATAAGGTCCTATTTATAGGTGCTAGAGGGTCATTTTAGATCCTTATTAAATACTAGGAATCTAGAGTATTCTACAACTAATTAATCTAGACTCTCCTTAAGAATTCTCTAGTATAGAATTCTCTAGAACCTTTTTAGCATTAACTTTCTAGAACATTTCTAGATATAACTACATAGCATATTCTAGATAAATGTATCATTATTTAATATTCCTCCTTGATGCATTTGTCGGTAACTCCAAGCATTCTTCGCATAAATTGGAAGTTGTCTCTTGGTAGGGCCTTCGTGAAAATATCTGCCAATTATTCTTCTGTTGGGCAGTACCTCATCTCAATATGTCCCTTTGCTTGGACATCTCTCAAGAAGTGATACTTGATATCGATGTGCTTAGTGCGATTGTGCTTAATTGGATTTTTAGCCATCACAATAGCTGACTTGTTGTCACAAAATTCTTTTCAGCCATATAGCTTGGCAAGCTGCTCCGACTGCTGCAACATACTCCGCTGTTGCTGATGATAGTGCGACTGAATCTTGCTTCTTTGATCCCCCATGAGAAAATTCTTGAACCAAGCTTAAAAGCGTAACCAGATGTGCTTTTCATGTCATCTTGAGATCCAGCCCAATCACTGTCGCTATATCCAATTAGTAGTGAGTCAGGGCTTGTTTTGTACCAAATACCATGATTGGCGGTTCCTTGTAGGTACCTAAGGAGTCTCTCTGCCGCTCTATAGTGAGTCTCAGTAGGACTCTCCATGAACCTTGAGAGCAAGCTTGTAGCATACATTATGTCTGGCCTCGTAGCCATTAAGTAGAGTAGACTCCCAATCAAACTCCGGTAATTGGTAGCATCTGTTGGCTTTGACACATCTTCTTTCTTCAATTTCTCATTAGGAACCAATGGAGTAACGACGGCTTTGCAGTCTTGCATTTTGAACTTCTTTAGCATGTCTTTAATATATTTTTCTTGAGATAAGAAGATACCTTCTTCTTCTTGACTTATCTCCATGCCAAGGAAGTAGCGCATTAATCCCAAGTCACTCATCTCAAGAGTGTTCATCATGTCTCTCTTAAATTCTTCAATTAATTTTGAATTATTTCCCGTGACAATTAAATAAATGATCAACATATAGAGAGACGATGAGAATGTCAGATTTACCTAGGGATTTGATGTATAGTGTAGCCTCGTTCTTGCTCCTCCTGAACCTGTGACGGGTGAAGTATCCATCAATCTTGCTATACCACGCTCGTGGAGCTTGTTTGAGCCCGTAAAGTGCTTTCTTTAGACGAAAAACTTTTCGTTCTTCTTTGATGAATCCTTTTGGTTGCTCCACATACACTTCTTCGCTTATCTCTCCATTTAGAAAGGCTGACTTGACGTATAGCTGATAAATTTTCCATTTCTTCTGAGCTGCAAGAGCTATGAGTGTTCTTATTATGTCCATCCGGGCAACTGGTGCAAACGTCTCTGTGTAGTCAACTCCCGGTATTTGAGCATACCCCTTTGCAACCATCCTTGCCTTATGCTTCTGAATTGAGCCATTGAGGTTCAGTTTTGTTTTATACACTCATTTGACTCCAATAACCTCCTTGTTATGTGGAAGATCTACCATTTCCCAAGTATCATTCTTTTCTATCATTTTGATCTCCTCCTCCATTGCTTTAATCCAAAAAAATTCTTTGGAGGCTTCGATGTAGCTATGTGGCTCCAAGGAGCAAAAGTTGCATGTTTCATAGATGTCTGTAGACTCATATAGGTCTGCTAGAGTTCTTACCCGAAGAGGTGGGGACTCTGGCGAGGAGTCGTGATTTCTTGATGTATTAGTTTCAAAAGAGGATCTTGGAGTAGATGTGGCGCTTTGTTGATCATGACTTTCCTCTTCTGGTATTTCCTCTAGTTGGGCAAGAGTTGTCTTTCTTTCAACTTTTTCTGTCTCCCAATTCCAAGAGGCTTGCTCGTCAAACTCCACATCTCGACTTGTCACCAACTTCTTTGTCTCGAGATTGTAGATTCGATATCCCTTGGATTTGGAGCTGTAGCCAAAGAAGATGCCCTTATTTGCTTTATCTTCTAACTTGTGCCTTTAAAAAAACCAACATGAATAGATCTAACTAAAAGAAATCACTTTATCTAGATACAAACATAAGATGATGCA